CATATGACTTTCATTGACAAGGATCATAAGAAAGAGTTTAGAGAAGGGGGCTGGGCGTGGTGGCTCAAGCCTGTAATCCCAGCACTTTGGGAGGCCAAGACAGGTGGATCAGGAGGTCAAGAGATTGAGACTATCCTGGCCAACATGGTGAAACCCCGTCTCTACTAAAAATACAAAAATATTAGCCGGGTGTGGTGGCCCGTGCCTGTAGTCCCAGCTACTTGGGAGGCCGAGGCAGGAGAATTGCCTGAACCCAGGAGGTGGAGGTTGCTGTGAGTTGAGATCACGCCACTGCACTCCAGCCTGGCAACAGAGCGAGACTCTGTCTCAACAACAACAACACAAAAAAGAGTTTAGAGCCGGGCGTGGTGGCTGACGCCTGTAATCCCAGCACTTTGAGAGCCCGAGGTGGGTGGATCACCTGAGGTCAGGAGTTCAAGACCAGCCTGGCCATCATGGTGAAACCCCATCTTTAAAAAAAAAAGAGTTTAGAGACAACCAGTCTCTGCTCCAGCCACACAGGGCTTTTATATATATATATATATATATATATATATATATATATATATATATATATATGGTACAAGACATGGTTTGAAACTGGCATGTAATGTGTAATAATCACATCAGGTAAAATGGGGTATCCATCCCCTCAAGCATTTATCTTCTGTGTTATAAAGAATCCAATTACACTCTCTTTTTTCTTTTTCTTTTTTTTTATTTTTTGGAGGCAGGGTCTCACTCTGTTACCTTGGCTGGTGCAGTAGTGTGATCATGGCTCACTGAAGCCTTGACCTCCTGGGCTCAAGTGATCTTCCCACCTCTTAGCCTGTAGCTGGGACTACAGGCACCCACCACCATGCCTGGCTAATTTTTTGTAAAGACTGGATCTTGCTATGTTGCCCAGGCTGGTCTTGAACCCCTGGGCTCAAGTGATCTGACCGCCTCAGCTTCCCAAAGTGCTGGGATTACAGAGGCCAGCCACCATACCCAGCCCAGTTATACTCTTTTAGTTCTTTTTAAATGTACAATTAAATTATTATTGGCTACAGTCACCCTGCGGTGCTATCAAACACTAGGTCTTATTCATTCTTTCTATTTTTTTTTGTACAAGTACTTTTATCTTTACAAAGCTCCTCAGGCAATTTTGATATACTGTCCATTTGAAAACCACTAAATTAAAACATTAAGCACTAGAAAGGGAGAGGTAAGAGACAAGCCAGAGAAGCTTCGATGAATGGACCTGAGAACACAACCACCACTCCCTGAGGGAATACCCATTCTGAGTTTCAAACAATCAATTTATAAATAAATTTTAGGAGAGAAGAAATGTGTAAGATCAGGAAGGACTATTTTAGTGTCCCAAAATATTTCAAGAATCTATTTATATAAGCAATTTGGATATAAGAATAAAATCAAGTTTTAAAGAAGAGAAAAACCATATTCTTCAAGAACAATTTGAGCAGCACAGTTTCTCTTTGATACTCTATTTGGGGTGGTTTAGAAATAAAACAGGCTGGCCAGGCATGGTGGCTCACACCTGTAATCCAGCACTTTAGGAGGCTGAGGCGGGCAGATCACCTGAGGTCAGGAGTTCGGGACCAGCCTGACCTACAAGGTGAAACCCCGTCTCTACTAAAAATACAAAAAAAATTAGTTGGGGATGGTGGCAGGTGCCTGTAATCCCAGCTACTTGGTAGGCTGAGGCAGAAGAATTGCTTGAACCCAGGAGGCAGAGGTTGCAGTGAGCCGAGATCGCGCTATTGCACTCCAACCTGGGTGACAAGAGCAAAACTCCATCTCAAAAAAAAAAAAAAAAAAAAAAAAAAAAAAAAAAAAAAAAGAAAAGAAAGAAAGAAAGAAATTAAACAGGCTTGGCTGGGTGCAGTGACCTTGCCCCCTGTGTTCCAGCCTCAGATTCTCCTGCCTCAGTCTCCTGCGTAGCTGGGATGACAGGTGCCTGCCACCACACCAGCTAATTTTTGTATTTTCAGTAGAGATGGGGTTTCACCATGTTGGCCAGGCTGATCTCGAACTCCTGGCCTCAGGTGATCCACCCACCTTAGCCTCCCAAAGTGCTAGGACTAAAGGTGTGAGCCACTGTGCCCGTTCAGCATTTAGCATATTTTATATTACTTAAGTCTCACAAAAATAAACTGGGTGTTACTATACCTGCTTTATAAACTGAGTAAACCAAGAAAAACTAGGTAACACGCATAGGTCCCATCATAATGACAGATCCTACAGGCTTTTAAGAGACGAGATCTCACTATGTTGCCAGGCTGGCTATGAACTCCTGGGCTCAAGGAGTCCTCCTGCCTCATCCTCCCAAGTAGCTGGGACTACAGTTGCATGCCCCTGCACCCAGCTTCCCAAAAGGTCTTTCTGACACCAGAGTTAAAGCCTTAATCATACACTATGTTACATGACTCTCATCTACATTGCCTGTCATCCAGCCAGCATGCACAGCTCTCAAACACAGGACCTCTGATAAGCCTGATCAGTAGCCTGCGACAGTTGACTGAGCTAATCAACTCAAGAATGGAGATGCTGTTAATACGTAACTGAGAGAGAATGAACCTAAGATATCTGCCCGTTATTAGGCATAAAGTAGGAGATTAAAAACAAAACAAAACAAAAAAAGAATACCTTTATTTTCATCTTTCTGGGCAAGCTAGAAAAAAAAAAAAAGGAGAGAAGGAGAGGGGGAGAGAGAGAGACAGAGAGAGAGAGACAGCCAAATAGACTCTGGGGTGGTTCAATCAGGAATTTAACTCTGGGAGAAGCCTCCTTAAAATTCCACAAAGTCTTAAGAGGGGGCAGACTGAAAATAATATATTTTTCTCATCTCACAGACTTCTGAAAAAAAGCATTGAGAGCATAAACCATTCTGAAGATTTACAACTTAAAGCAAATCACCTTAAGGTATTGGAATCAGTCAGTGCTTAGATGGAACATCTTTTGAGGGCTACATCTTCACTGACAGTGCCCTTCTTCTCCATTTCCTATACTTCTTGCTTCTTTCTGTTCCCACTGCATCCCATATGGATTTGTACAAATAATGCTGGGTTCTTTTCTTCCCCCACATGCAACAGTTTCTGCTGGATCAGAACCATTCCTTCTACTGGTTTTAAAATCTGTTTTTCTCAGATTCTTTACACTTGAAGGATATTAAAAAAGACATTTAGCCTCTTTTTCTTTTAAGCAATAAAAATTATTCTCTCACTGTACTGATTATTCTCCATGTGGGGCTAAATTATGAAAATTCTGACTCTTTTTCTCTTTGCAAAAATTAAGCAATAATAAAAAGTTAGTATACCATGTTGGATTTTTTTTTATTTCTTTTGGGGGGAGGTACTCAAAATCCACTGTAAATCTCAAGTAGAGTTCCATTTCTAAATGAGTTTTTGGTTAGAAATGTACACTTAAAATTTTAGTACAGTATTTGGAAAGTAATGGAATGACTACCAAGCACTGAACATTGAGACTGTAAGATGGCGCACATTAAATTTGGTTCTATGTTGAACGATATTGGTCTGATTCCAGGGAGTAGGCTACGCAGATATAGTTCCAAAATTGGACTACAGAAAGCTGATACAGCTCTACATTCTGAGTGAGTTAATTAAGCTTATTTAAACATAGACAATAAGAAAGGAGAGGAAGAATGATGGGAAAACCAAATAGGACACTGTTCTCTATGATTATCAAGTGCTCACTTCATTATAATAGTACTGGCCTTTCCACCATAGAATGCTAAGAAACCTGAAGCAGTACTTCATGTCAGTTGTCACTAGTAATTAGATCAAAAGTAAATATGTATCTCTTGCTAAAAATATAAGAGGCAGGAGGCTATAGACATTTATGCTCTAAGAAATTTAATTTGAAACTAATGTGTAAGACAACCTGAGTAAATCTCACTTTAGAGAGATTCAACTGTACTATACCTGACTGTATGAGAAGGGCAAACAGTAGAAAAGAAGAATGGGGAATTTTAATGCATTCATCCACTTTTAAAGACAGTAAGTAAAACTGGTTAAATGTCATCACCAGCAGTATTAAACTGCATGAAGATTGCACTGCCTTTTTAATTTTTTTTTTCATTTTTTGAGACAGGGTCTCGCTCTGTTGCTCACACATCACTGTTGTGCAGTGATGCAATCACAGCTCACTTCAGCCTTGACTTTCCAGGCTCTAGGGTTCCTCCCACCTCAGCCTCCTGAATAGCTAGGACCACAAGCATGTGTCACCATGCCTGGCTAATTTTTTTGTAGAGATGGGTTTCACTTTGTTACCCTAGATGGTCTTGAACTCCTGGGCTCAAGTGATCTGTATACCTCGGCCTTCCAAAGTGCTGGGATTGCAGGTATAAGCCACTATGCCTGGCCTTGCATTGCCATTCTTACATATCAACTTTTTTTTTTTCTTATGTAGCCCCAAAGGGGCAAAAAGAGACTTTAATTAGGGGAGGGAGGATCCACCAGAATTCGAAAAGGGAGAGCTAGCATGGGAGCAGAGGAGCCAGAGCAGGCAGGAGGACGGCCCAGCTGGGAAGCTCTGGAGTAGGACTCACCTCGCTACCTATGGCAGGCACTGCACTGACAGACAAGGCGAAACAGCGGCCCCTCTCAACTGGGAGGGTACCCAATGGCCCCTATAGCCAGAGGTTGCCTGGCTTTTGGGCCCCAGGTCCTAGGTATGACTGGTGGTCACCAATTTGGCCCTTGTCCCCAACCAGTGATGGGTGGCCATCTTCAGGCAGAACTCAGGGAGCTGGCAGGGGGTTCCCACCACTTACACTGGGTCCAAGGAGGCTTCGGAATAAAAGAGCAAGGGAGAGGAACTGGAGTCTGAAACCTCCCTCCCACCCTCCCTACATGGGATGGCATAGCAGAGGAAAAATAGTTGCCTTCTGGGCTCCAGACCCGCCCAGACCCACAGCAACCAATAAGGGACAATCACTGGGACCAGTCACAGCCACTGGAGGTGGAGGTTGTTTGTCTAAAAAAAAAAAAAAAAAAAAAAGACAAAAAGGTTACAGTCTCCTCTAAGCACAGAGTTTAAGTTTCAAGACATTAAAAAAAAAATCTGTCCCAGCCCAGGGGACTGAACATCAGAAGCCAGCCTGACCAGGACCTGCCTTGGGGCAGGTCCACTGCTGCTTTCTTGCCCAGCTAGCAAGCACATCACCCCCCTCCCATATCAAATGCCCACCCTAATCCAGCTTCCTGCTGCCGCCGCTGCTGTTCTGGAGAGTGACTCCAGGACGCCTTCATGGAGACATGGGGAGTCTGAGGGGGAAGGCCACAAGATCCAGCCAGATGGTGTAAAAATTAAGGAACTCCTCAGCCACAATGCGGGCACGGGCATTGACCGACAGCTTTATCTCACTGATCTCCGTGTCAATCTCCTCCATGAAGGGGATCACAAAGTCCACCAACTTGTGTTTGTACATCTGCTCTGTATGGAAGTTGGCGATCAGAAAGCTGATGTCATACCCCTCCACAGGCTTCCTTTGAAGGATGAAGAAGTTTTCTGCTCGCATCATCAGGAAGCGCATGAATTTGTGGCGTAAAATCTTCTTGATCTCATCAGCCTGTTTCACAGCAATGCTGACCTGGACAGAGTTGATGGAGCCCTCAATCAGAACCTTTTCCTTCTCATTCCTGCTGATGGTCACAGGTTGTAACAGGAGTTCTTTGCTACTCCTGACTTCCACTTCTGGCTTGTGTCATTCCACAACCTGGGAGGAGAAGTTCTCCAGACAGAGGGCAGCCCGCAGTGTGGCCCGCATGGCACTCAGGTAGGGGCGGAGAGTGGCAGACATCGCAGGCGCTGGATATATATTAACTTTTTAACTTGGGAAGAAAGGCTTATCCACACAACTTTGCATTTCTTTTCTTTCTTTTTTTTCTGAGACAGAATCTTGCTCTGTCGCCCAGGCTGGAGTGCAGTGGTGTGATCTCGGCTCACTGCAACCTCCACCTCCTGGGTTCAAGCAATTCTCCCATCTCAGCCTCCTGAGTAGCTGGGATTACAGGCGCACACCACCACTACTGGCTAATTTTTTTGTACTTTTAGTAGAGACAGGGTTTCGCCATGTTGGCCAGGCTGGTCTCAAACTCTTGACCTCAAGTAATCCACCTGCCTCAGCCTCCCATAGGGCTGGGACTACAGGCGTGAGTCACTGCGCCTGGCCACAACTTTGCATTTCTAAAAATGACTTACTCACTCACTCATTCAACAAGTATTTATTTACTGTTTACCATGTAGCAGGCATAGCTATCCTGGAACAAAGGCACAGTCTATCCCCTGGAGGAGTTTATAGTCTGGTGGGGTGAAAGTCTTAAAAGAAATAATCACAATTTAAATAAATACTGTATTTACAAAGTAAGTGAAGTGGTCTCAGAGAGAAGAAAAATGGAAGGATACTAGTACATGGTTCTAATTTTTATTGCTTCTCTGGGAAATGACAATGAAGCTGAGCCCTGAAGAGCAGGTTAGCCAGTGAGGATTAGGGAGAAAGGGTGTTCCAGGCACAGGGAACAATGAGCACAGGATGACAAAGAGCAAGACCCGCTACACACTTTGCAGGCTCAGTGCAAGATAAAAATGGTACACAAAAACTAAGAATTTCAAGCTAGTGAGGGAGCATTCAACCAAGCGTGGGGACCTATGTGACTGCACAGGTCATACACACTTGAAGCCAGTTTTGGAAAAGGACGCATGTCGAAGGGACTTAAGGCCAGTTGCTGGAGTACAGGGCATGGAGAAATTGCTAGCTGAAACTGAAGAGTATGAGAGGTACCCAGGAACCAGTCCAAGGTGCAGGGCCTCTAGGGACCAACCTCACAGAGGTTCATAGTTTCCCCAAATAGTTTGCAAAGAGCTACTGCATAAGCAAGGCTGTTATGTAATCATTCTGCCAGGTGCTGAGAGGAAGACAAAGAAGATGTCTGCTTTTAAGGAGCTTACAAATAATTATATAATTTAGGGTAGAATGTGACAGGTCTCACAAGAAAGGTATAAGCACCAGTATGTAGTGGCTTCAAAGCAGGAAGATTACTCATTTGGGGGTGGGGAACTGCAAAACACAGAGACAGAAGGACTGCACGCTGACTGAAATTAGCATGCTTCTGCCTTTGGACCTATGATTTAACCATATCACTGCAGGAACAGCAAACACAACCAGCACATCCTATGTGCCAGGCACTGAGTACACATGCTTTACATGTATCAATTCATTTTAGCCTCACGTCTCTGAGGTGGGTGCTATTCTATCATCTTCATTTACCAGAAGAACAAAGGCATAGAAAGGTTCAACAGCTTGCCCAAGGCCACACAGCTAATAAGGTGGGGATTAATTTGAATCTAAGCAGTCTGGGTTCAATATCCTTGCTTTGAACTCTTACACAATACTATAATTTTACTAAGTGTTTAATTTTGCTTTGTTTTTTAAATCTGTGTGCTATAATTGCACCTCTTTTACTTTTCTCCTGGTGTACTTGGTGAGTTATATATACTGCTTCAAATTGGCTAAGAAATAGAGAACAAGAAAAATAATTGTCCTAAATATTTCCCCTTCTTTATTACCTAGAGCCAGAGTTGGAAGAACAGCAGTATGAAATACATTAGGTATGAGTTTCTGAAAGAAAACAACATAGACAGCACTGCTTTCCTATGCTGTTGACAGTAATCCCAATGTGGCTTTGCACCGATGGCTAATTAGAGCCACGTAGTTATGGACAAATTACGACTGACTCCCTTAGAACTGTGAACAGTGAATTAATGGAGGTCTAAGAACTCACACATTGGCTCCCAGTATCCCTATGACCCAAAGCTGGATCTGTTCCTTACAGAATTGGTAACTACATGTATACACTCATTAATTCAACAAATATCTACTGTGTATAAGGCACTATGCCACATGCTATGTGGGGTACAAAGAAAGTTATGACACGGTCTGTTCATCAAGAAACTTATAATAAACTTTAAAATTTTATTAATGCCATAACAGAAATATAAGCCTCATGCTATGATGGTGTAAAGGAGAATGAGTTAACAAATCCATCAGGAAGGTTAGCATAGACTTGAAGGAAGAGACAACATGTAAGCATTGTCCTGGAGAGGGTTCTGCAACTGACCATTCCAAAGTGTCAGGGTATTTTTTTGTTTTACTTTGTTTTGGTGGGGGAGGAGGAGGGCATATATCAGTGCCTCCAAGGACTGCAGACAGGCGTGGCCACAGGTCTCCTCAGTACCTCTGTCCCAGGTAGGAAGCACCTTCTGTTAGGGTGGTAGTCAAGAGGCCCAAACGGGCCAGGCGTGGTGGCTCATGCCTGTAATCCAAACACTTTGGGGGCCAAGGTGGGCGGATCACCTGAGGTCGGGAGTTCAAGACCAGCCTGACCAACATGATGAAACGCCGTCTTAAAAAAAAAAAGAAAAAAAAAAAGAGGCCCAAACAGTGCTCTGGCTCGGGTGCCACTGTGCAGGCGTTAGGCTACCTGCCTTGCCAGAATCTTATGTGCAATTCATGCAGGGCCAGAGGAACCCGTATGGTATTTCTAACCAATCCAATTTGAAATTATTTCTGACATCCTTTATGCTAACTAGAAGACCCTCTGGTGTAGATTTAAAGATAAGCAAGTTAAATTTACAGTAGTTATCTCCTGATTAGGGTCTCTCCAACGTCAAACAACTACCCTTACAATGATGTATTCTCATATCAGTGTGCTTCAAATGTTCATCAGCCATGTCCAAGGTGTAGACTAACACACTGTGTAGACGGGTGTGTTAATGTAAATTACAGGTAGCATTACAGTGGAGTAGGGCTATGAGAGGGGGATAAGGAGGGGCGAGATGTTCCAGATGGAAGGAACAATTCATTATCGCTTATATCTTTCCTCATTCTAAAGGAAGCTTCCGTAAGCAAAGGCATGGAGCTACAAAATGTGGGCCTACTAAATGTGCCGCGCAGTCCTGTTTGTTTGGGTGAGGAGCTAGATGACCTGGCATAAGGAACCTGCAAAGCAGGCTGGAAAGAATACACTGAAGCCAGCCTGAAGACTGTCTAGGTTGCTGCCAATCGCTGAAAGCATGAACCTATTTTGGTAGTTGCTAGCTCAGTGACCATATTTTCTGAAATAAAAATCAGGCAGATGGTCTTAACAGATGTTTGCATCCATTCTGGATATGAGAAGCAATTTGGAATATGAAAGAACCTAAAATACTAAAAGTTTTTGGGTTGTTTTGGTAGCCAGGCTTATGAGGCAGAATATTTGACATTGGAACTGTCTTTTAAAAGAAAAGTCTTGTCACAATGATGTGAAGAGATCACTGAGGTTTTAAAATGCTCGAAGGATCAAAATTATGTTTTTACAAATATGAATCTGGAAATCATGTATATGCTAAAGTAGAAGGGAAGATAAAGAAAAGAAGAAAGAGTTAGGTACAGGTGCTCAAGCTTGTGATCCTAGCATTTTGGGAGGCTGAGGTGAAGGGATCACTTAAGCTGAAGAGTTCAAGACCAGCCTGGGCAACAAAGTGAGGCCCCATCTCCATGAAAAATAAAAATAAAAAATTAGCCAGGCATGGTTAGTGGTGTCTGTAGTCCCAGCTACTCCAGAGGCTGAGGCAGAAGAATCCCTTAAGCCCAGAAAAGTTTACAGTGAGCTATGATCGTGCAGTTGCATTCCAGATGAGGTGACAGAGTGGGGTCCTGACAAAAAAAAAAAAAGAGAGAGAGAGAGAAAGGAAAGAAAGAAAGAGAGAGAAAGAGAGAAAGAAAAGAAAGGGAGAGAGGGAGGAAAGAAGGGAGGGAGAGAGGGAGAAAGGGAGCAATTGAAAGGACATTTAGGAAGCTATGAAAATAGATCAAGAGAAAGAGACTGTGGAAAAGGTGACAGTAGAAATGGAAAGAAAGTAAGTTTTCCTAGTCATGGAATTAGTCTACGTCACTCGTAATAATCACATATGGCTGTTAAGAGCTATTCCTGGGGTATGAATTTTCCAACTCCATTGGGATGCCTTAAGGCAAAAAATCCTGCCTTACTTACATTTGGTACCTACTGCAACCGAACATAAAGCTGAATACTTAGTAGATGCCTAAAGCAGATTTATTCAGTTAAGCATTTCTTGCTGTGTCATGATTCAAATGGAATTTGTCAGTTAAATGCTGAAATAAAAGAAACAGATGAAGACTATGCCTATATATTTTCCTCGAGTATGGGTGTTATAGGAGATATGTGATCACACAGAGCTGATAAGTGGAAAACACAGAAATGCACTTAACATAGGATATTCTTGTTACCTAAATGAGAAAATTGTGATAACTAATTAAATTTGGCAGTTTTCCCTGATATGTTTGACAGAGCTAATAATTACTTCTGTTCTGGGGGGTAATTTCTAAAATAATGCATAAGAATAAGACTATTTGAGGAGACTTTTTATACTCTGCAATTGGAGCATTCCCTAAATCAAAATTCATTTTTTTTTCTTCTTTTTGAGACAGAGTCTTGCTCTCTCACCCAAGCTGCAATGCAATGGTGCAATCTTAGCTCACTGCAACCTCTGACTCCTGGGTTCAAGCAAATCTCCTGCCTCAGCCTCCCAAGTAGATGGGATAACATACACGTGCCACCACCCCAGCTAATTTTTGTACTTTTTTAGTAGAGATGGGGTTTTGCTAGGTTGGCCAGGCTGGTCTCAAACTCCTGATCTGAAGTGATTTGCCTGCCTCAGTCTCCCAAAGTGCTGGGATTAGAGGCGTGAACCACTGTACCCAGGCCAAAAATAATTTCATTTTTTTTTTTTTTTCTTTTTTGAGACGGAGTTGCCCAG